ATATCCGCAGCAAAATCTGCAGAAAGTAGTTAGTGGGTTAGAGATGATATTTAGATTTGACTTTGTTATAACAGTTGAAAAATATCGTACGGCAGAATTTTTACTTTAGAAATAAGTACAATACGAATATAATACATAACTAATTATAGAAAAATCCATCTTTTAGGCCCTCGCATTCAAGCTTCACCTTCGTCATACTCTGCTCACACGCAAAAGTTGTCTCTTTGGCATCATTACAGTTAAAAATGTCCCGGTTAGATCAATTGTTCTTCCTTTTACGGGTTCCATCTAGAGATAGGATTTAGCATATAAATAAAAACAAGAGATAAATGAGTGCTTACCTTAAATTTCTGAAGTAGCATTACAATTCCTATGAAAAGTTCCACTCTGGCCATTGATTCACCTACACATATCCTTTTTCCAATAGAAAATGGCCAAAAGCTGTCGATAACTTCCTGAAACCTTAAGGTATGATCTCTTTCTTTAAGTGTTGCAGTATGACCATTGAAAGGAATGCTTTGATCAAATTTACCAAATTCTACGTTTAGAAGAAAAACCTTTTCAAATTTCATTATTTTTTCTAATGGAAGAATCAAGAGACTGAAATAACAATCAAAGCTATAACAAAGAGCTGGTAGCTCGGTTTTATCGTTTCAATAATCTGCAGAAGTTATTTTTAAATAAAGAAGAGATTCAAACCTTGTTAGGAGTGACACCATCATCCATGAGAAATCGTTCAGGTCTGAATTCATCGCTATTTGTGAATACTGACGGATTTCTCATGATTTGATGAACTTGTCCTATAACAAAGGTATTCTCTGGGATAAAATGGGATCCAATGCTTGTGTCCTTTAATGTGCGATGCACTGGCGCCAGGCCAATAATACTAGCTCATCGCTGGATCTCTTGGATTGCAGCCCTAAATATGTATGTAGAAAAAATCAATGAAAAAACATATGATTTTTGCCTCCTTCAATAATTGGAAAATTAGATAGAAATAAATTTTAAATAAGTGAAATAAAAGAATCAGCAGCAACCCGCTATCTTAGTAGATGAGGATGTTAAACAAATTAAAATATCTACCAGGTATACGGTAGCTGGGTTCTCATTGCCATGCTTGGTTTTCCATCAGCGCCAAGAAGTGATAGAATCTCATCACGCATTTTGTCCTTTAAAAAATGTTAACGCTTTTGAAAAAAAGTTCAACAAAAAAAAACATTCACTTACCTGTACTTTGGGATATTTTGACAAGTATAATGTACTCCATCTTAAAGTTGTTGCTGTTGTCTCCATACCGGCTAGGAACAGATCGGAGCAAGAGTTGATTAGGTTGTCGCGACTTGAACAAAAGGTTTAAAAGTTTGGAGTTTTCTAGATTATTATTAACTTACTCAAGCATTGGATTGCATTTCATCTGCTTAACGTATGCATGAACAAAACATTCTGGTTCTTGATCAGGATCCCATGATTTCAAGCATTTTTCCACATCTTCATTTATATTCTTCCAGATCTTAAAAAAAATGTAAAATTCTACTATTTCGATTTTCAAAATTTGGTCGATTTCGAACCTATGTATGTAATGTACTATGTATCTGTTATTTGCCACTTTATTCCAATCTTATTCCGTTCTGGCAAGAATCCTTTCTGTTAAAGAATTTGGAGTTTCACATTCATTTCCAAACATCCTAAACTTCAGACATAAACTTGAAATAATGCGTTTAGTCATTTTTTGGAAATTGGAAATTTTAGCTTTAATTGATGCGCAAAAACGGAGAACAGATATGTTGCCTACCATT